AAGCATACGGCTGGGTGGATGACGTTTGTATTCTAGCTATCTCAAATAGCTACGAAGAAAACGTCAGATTGCTAGAGAAGGCATTGCAAAGAGCAGTGTCCTGGGCCAGCAAACATGCAGCAAAATTCGCACCTGATAAATTTGAATTGATCCATTTCAACAATCCAACATCTACCACCACAAACGAGGAGTCTCCCCGAAACATTGACATCTGGGAGATACCGGACGATCCATCAGGACATGACGGCATGCCGGTGACCATCCCAGGGGATCCGATACCAACCATCCTCTCGCCTTCGGGTACAGCAAAATACCTAGGTGTTTGGCTCGACAAACACCTCGATTTCTCGACACACCGCAAGAAAATGCTTGCGAAAGGAGCCGGCAGTCTAGAAGCACTCCGTGCAATCTCAGGCTCCACTTGGGGATCATCATTGATTGCAATGCGGAAAGTATACCAGGCAGTCATCATTCCACAGATGCTATGGGGACTGTCTGCGTGGTACTGTCCAGCAGCGAGATCGATACCAAGGGGGGACCTCGACAAGCTCACAAACGAACTTACTAAGACACAAAAACGTGCGGCAATCCTGATCAGCGGTGCTTTCCGCGGGACAGCGGGAGCAGCACTCGACATAGAATTAAATATCCTTCCCATCAAACTACGAATCCAACAAATCGTCGAAGAAACAACAATACGAATCGTCACCGGCCCACAATGGGCATGCCCACAGATTGCCAGGGAGGCAAGGAAACCAAGAGAGCGGAAGGTTGGGGGATGGTCCCCGACCGAGGCAATTGCACAAAAGAAACCATTACGGCTTAAAAAAGGAGAGCAATGGGAGGAAAAACGTGCATTTGTTCTTGCACCGTGGGAGGCACCGATCCCCTGCTTCATTGAAAACCAAGAAGCAGCATTAAAAACTCACAGTCATATTTATGAAGACGTCGCTTGTGACGACCACGGCCATACCAGTATGGTCTTTACAGATGGAAGCGGGTTTGCAGGGCACATTGGCGCATCAACGGCCAGGGAGTACCCGGAGATAACGTCAGAAAGACGATACCTTGGAACGGATTCCCAGTCCACAGTGTACGCTGCCGAGCTCAGCGGCATTGAGATGGTACTCGCCAAAACCAAAACTGACACCGAGGGACACATCAAAACCAGAATCGATGACAAGGGACAGGCTCGAGAAGTGATTATTTTCTCTGACAGCCAGGCTGCCATCCAGGCAGTCCAGAACCCACAGCGACCATCTGGCCAGTATGTTCTCACACACATATACGACCACATACGGACCATCCGGTCGCGCAACCAGTCCCAACAAAATCCAACGAATATCACTATCAGGTGGATCCCTGCACACGTTGGTGTGGACGGCAATGAATATGCCGACAGAGAAGCAAAGAGTGCAGCGCTTCTTGGTGCGGGGATAGGAGTTGCGACCGGGCCGGATAATCCGATAATCCGTCTCGCCGCAGCTGCTAAGAGAGCGGTACGCCAACGAATCAGAGAGCGGTGGAAGAAGCAGTGGGAGCGGGAGACAACCTCCGCACCCACGAAGCGCTTGGTGCAGGCGCCGAACAAGAAGACACTTCGGTTGTACGAAGGACTGTCGAAACCACAATGTGCAATTTTGATTCAAATGCGTACAATGCGGATCGGCCTTCGACACTTCTTGTTCAAGATCAAGGCAGCCGAGACTGACCGATGCAATTGTGATGAGGGCTCACAGACGCCAAGACACATTTTGATGCAGTGTCCGCGGTATATCATGCCGCGTACAAAATTGTGGGAGCAACTGTGGAACATTGGGATCAACGAGATGGATTACGACAAGATCGTGTCGAACCCGCAGGCCACCCGCTACGTGGTCAACTTTATGCACCAAACAGGTCTCCTCCAGCAGTTTCGACACGTTGGGACCGAGGAGGACGACGACGACGAACCGGTAGGCCTTACGGCAATGGAGCTAGATGTGGAAGACGATGGGCATTAGCCAATGACGATAGATGATGCTGTGAAACGAGAACTCAGCCAGAGTCGACAAACATGCCAATCAACTGGCCAGGACAACGTCACCATCAATCGAAACTGAGGCGGGAGGGGGTTTGCAGAGAGAGAGGGAGAGAGAGAGAGAAGTGAGAAGATGGAAGGTGGGGGGTGCACCCCACGACAATCATTATGGGACGATTTCTTATGTATGGGATTTGGGACTTGGGATTTATGGGCTTATGGGTTACTACAGGAATGGGCTGATTCCGCACTCTTTACAATCAGCATCTGTATACTCTGGGAGAGATCCCGCTCGGCGTTTGGCTTCGAGTTCTTGCTTCGGTTGGATGAAGCGCCTGCATAGTCATACGCAACTAGTTAGACTGCAACAGGTTAATTGAACTTTGATTGATTGATTGATTGATTGATCTCATTATCCTCTTATTAACAAACAGTCTCGTTTTTATACCAGCCCCTTGATGCATTCTCCTCCGATCGAAAGACTCGGTCAAAAGCACTTTACAACGCATCATGTCGAGACCATCATCTCATCGTATCACTTCTGAACAACAGGATCTGGTGTTTCGGGATGAGGACATAATGAAAATACCATCCGATGTAAACGGTGGTTCTCTTCCTCATTCCGCCGTCCGGCAGCAGAAACCCAGGGAGATTGAAGTACTCGTGAACTCGGCCTGGGGAAAAAATAGTGGGAATCGCTATTGCAGAGGGCGATACCAATATCCCTAGAGTATTGGACAAACACAAAGGTCCTGGTTGGGAAATGCGCTGGCGTTCAGAGGCAAGAGCTTGCTTAGTTGTTTTAGAGTTAAGCTCATAAAGCGTGCCTGTATATCACGTCTATGCCTTCTTCAGCACATGCAAACTAATCAAACAGATCATAGGTCATGCCCGCTTGATCTGATAAGCTGAGGACCTGGCAAGGTGGCGACTATGCTGATCGCTATCCTTTCTATCTTAGTTCATAACTGTGAACGTGTCTATACCAGATGACTAAGTGGTTCCAGTAAGATTATGACACCTAATAGCCATTGCATTCAAAAAGGTACATATGACGCCTCTTCGCCGCCAAGTCCATAGGCATGCAATAGCTAGCGTAAAGCATTCTTGCATTAATTATCATCCCCATGTTTCTTATTCTCCAAGCACTGGGTGCTGATGTTCTCTGTCTCACTAGTTCTGATTAATCCCCTCGCTCCTCCCATTCGGCATCAATACTTAGCAGCCATGCTTGTTCTCCCGGAGCAGGGAGTTTATATACTTGTATATCTGCCTTACATAGCCTATGAAGCTTCTTCGGTAGAGGGCTAATTGAAATCTCCAGTGCAGATTTGTACGGAATTTCCTGGCTGTGATATATATAAACCACAGATACCCCTCCATTAACAGAGATAAAATGACCAGGTAGGCCATAATCGTCACAGTATCCCAGTCTAGATTAGTTTTAAAGGTCCTGCCCAGTCGCATACACATTAGATTTGTTTATCAAACGATATTATCCATATGAGCTCAACGGCTGGATTCTGCAAGTTGTCGAATACAATGGTGGAATGCAAACCTCCCGATCTACCTTGGGTAAGGGTCTAACCTTACCGACCCTAACCCGGGCTCGGACCCGTTTAAGGTCCTTACAGGTCACCTTTCTGAATTTTATAATTGATGTGGAGTCTTGAACGCCCAACCCAACCAGTGTAGAGTGTATTTATCAAGGGATATAAACCGCTGCAGAAGGTCAATTTCAAGGATTTCTTCGAAGTGAGGTCATTTGCTGCCCTATCTCTCCATGCCTTCTGTCCAGAAAATGAAATGGAGGCCAAATCCCCATACATTTCGCCAGAAATGTGAGCCATTGGAATTTTCGCCCAGGTAAGTACATTTTCAACTTCCGTAGTTCAAGTCTTTCCTTCGATTGTGCATTTTCGCTGCGAATTTCATTTTCCTTCTCCGCTGTCATATAAAGCAGACGGTGATGCCAAATGTGAAACTCAAGCTGAGCTCCACCGGACTCCAGTCACCTCCCGAGGATCTGATATTCCACCGGACTAGCTAGTTGGTACCCACACATCCGGAGATCTGTCTGATATTCCACCGGACCAGTTAGTTCCCACACCTCCGTGCCACATTCGTGCTTCGGTATTACCATATAGCACAGCATTAAATAGCTCGATGGATAGCAGAATTCTACGCAGTCGCATTCAAGTTACAGAAGATTATCCTGTTACAATTCAACCTCCTCTTCGCGAAGAAAATCAACTTTACAACATGGGATCAGCTACAACCAACGGCTCAACAGAGAACGGGACTGCTGTCAACCAGCGACCTGCCGCCGAGGCCGTTGCCTACCAAGGCGAACTTCTGCCCAACGTTCGAGACGACTTAGTGGTACCCGGAATCCTAAACCTGGACTTTGAGGAAAAGCTTTGGGTGCCCCAAGCCCCAGACGTCTGGTTCCGACCTATCCTTTTCAATGTCTCGCAGGGCTACTTTGTGAACCTGCTCCGTGTGCGTCGCTCGGGTATTCTATCGCGCCACCGTCATTCCGGTCCAGTCCACGCCACAGTTTTGAAGGGTAAATGGCATTACCTCGAACACGATTGGTGGGCCACGGAGGGAAGCCACGCTTTTGAACCCCCCGGTGACATTCACACCCTCGAGGTGCCAGCCGGTGTCGAGGAGATGGTTACACTATTCCACGTGACGGGCGCGTATATATATGTCGATCCCCAGGGCAACCCTGTTGGCGTGGAAGATGTTTTCTCCAAATTGGCTAGCGCAAAGGCACATTATAAAAAGGTTGGACTTGGTTCAGATTACGTCGATCAATTTATTCGTTGAATGATACCCGTTATTTATCTCGTGTCACTTTATCACAGATGAAGGTGTTGTGGAGTTTTTCGAACCGTCTTGCAAATTCGGTCTTTGTCGTGGTTTAATTCTTATTAGGAAAAGGTGGGCACAAGGAGTGAGTGTAGGAGTCGTGTCAGGGCGTATTGGTCCAATTCCACACCCAGCTCTGGCCGGGAAGTGATAGGTTCAGCTCGTTTAACCTCTCGGGACAAGGGTCGAGTGACGGGATCTGCGAGTTGGAAGGCGCCTCATTATTGGAACGCTGTAAATTTTCAGCCGAGGGTCTTTGATCTCCCCAGATTTCGTCCTCCGTCGGCCTATAGTTGCCTACAGGTGTCATAGGATCCGAACACTCCCAAAGAACTGAGATTATAAACAGTTAGATAAGTCAATTTCTGGTATTTGCAATTCCTGAAGTTTGTTCAGCTAAAGCGGCATGGAACATGTAACATACCCTGCTGTACCGAGTCAAGCGCTTGGTCGACACCAGCATAGAGAGGCAATAGAGAAGCCGGGTAGGCACCAAAGTCCGGATCTGTTGTTGTCTCGATTTCAGAGGCAACTTGGAGTCTACCTCCAGCGTCCGGATGTTGCGGAGTATAACCTGTATTATCCTGACCTTGCGACAACTGCGCCGAGTTAAATCTCTCATTCTCCAGACGGCCCATTCCATCAGAGACGTGGCCCTCTTGTGCGATGCTGGCTGCCAAGTCCCTTTCGGGATTAAGGCTGTACTCAGGAGTCATATCAAACGGCGGGCCGTCTAGAAATGCTTGCATTTCTCGCTGAAAGATAAGATGGAAAAGTCCTTCGAGAACTTTTACTGTCTGTGATGGAACGATAGATGACTCGGCGAGGTTTTTCTGTAGCGAGATAGAATTTGCAACCCCTTTCTTTGCATCTTGCGATTGTGCAGAACCTGGATCCGACAATGCTACCATACCAAGGGTCACCCCAGCAGTGAAATTTTGCATTGCAATGTATGCAACTGCGTGAGTATTTTTGGCGGCAAGAAGAACTGGTGCATATCGTGGCAAGATGCCGCACGTGCGGCGAGCACAATGTTTGCATTGATCAAAACTAGTCGGTCGATTTTCTGGGCTGCGAGGGTTGGGGCCCATGATTAACTGACCAGTGTATCGCAGGAAAGGACGATGCAGGATGATTTGAATATTATCATACGCCAACTGGAGTACTAAAGCCTGTAACTCGAAAAGTCGGTACACGTCAAGCTCGGTACTCGACAGGTTGTTCGTGTGGACTTCAGAATTGTTCTTCAACTTTAGCTCCGCTGGGAGCCTTTCAAACCAATCTACCAGCTTGGTGTTGATAACTGCAGCTTGGTGTCTCACATCTCCTGATTTTGGGGAGTCAAGGTTATATATGCTGCCAATTATCGAAGAGGCAATGGTGTAAAGCTCAAATTTGTAGCGCTGATATGTGCCCAATGTCACGCGTGCTGGGTGAGTAGTTGCCGAGTACTCCAACGAGTTCAGTAACGGATGAACGGCTTGTATATCCTCCATATCTCGTGGCATGCTAACTGAGCAATGAGCGTCATCTATAGATGACGGCCGTCCATAAGTTATTGATGCGTATCTGCTAGATCGTAAGCATGGGTTTCAACTGGTGAATACCCCGTCACTGGGCCAAGGAAATAGAGACCTGTCGAGTACATATAACGCCCACCAAGTTCGCTTGCGGACTTCAAGAACAACCTCCGGTGCAGGGCCCCATAGGGACTCTTTGTGTAAGCCTTGCGCCTGCGCGCTGCCAATTCCTGCGCCAAGAACGGGCAACGCCATATTGGGGTTGCCATTATAAAGGTCAAATGTGCTCAACAAGATGCAACATTGAACACACTCTAACCCTCCTGCGTCCAGAATCTCAAAGAAGTGCGCTCGAACCTGATTCAACATGTTACCTTGCAAAAGAGATCTCTCTTGCTCAGTGAGGCCAATCTGTGATGCCTGTTCTTCCGAAGTATATCTTGCACCTAGGGCAAGTACCATCAAAAGCAGCACTGCCACGCCATTTTGTTGAGGTGTAACTATTTGTTTGCCCATGATATTCTCATACTGCTTTTCAAAAGACGATCGATGAAAAATCATCATAAACCAGTGCACTGATTTCCAATATGATTGCAGCAGGAAGTCGCATATTTGTCGGGAAGGAAGAACCAATCCGTTGAAGTGGGAAGTAAGAGGAGCGCCTCTTTCATTTACTCGATCATCAGGACCTCGAGTTGGGCGAGATCCACCCCCTGGGAGAGCGGAGGTATTGTTGGTTTCTGTCGGTGACACCATAGATGCCGTGTTATGCATTCGAAAAAGCTGTTCATCGGCTCAACTTCACGTTCGTAATAAGCCTCTCGTAGGATGTTGTAGATTACCTCATCTGTCAGCTCGACTGCTGATACTTGCGGATATCTATGCGGCCAGGGAAGAGATTCAGGGTTGGCATCTCGGTAACTGCTCGGGCTGTGAGAAGTCTGGGGTCTATTGACGGGTCGGTCGGGTCTCTCAGAAAGCGGAGGACTTGTTGATGGGGCAGAGCGCGGTTGGTTGGCACTCCGGCGCCTTTCGGTCCTTATTTTCTGTGTTTGTTTTGACTTTCTGAGGCAGATAGGCAAATTAGAACCTCATCCCCTGTAACATCTCACAACCGATTCTCACAACTGGAGAACCCCTACCGTAATGGTGCTGATGTTGTCAAGCAATCAAAGCCAGAGCGCACACACGGTGAGCACGGCTTAGTAATATCACACTGAACATAAACTTGTTAGAAGGTGAATGTCTGCGATGTTGAGAAATCTGTTACCTTCAACTTCTGTCTACGGCATCGATCGCACGCATGACGGCGGGTCCCCAGTTGCTTGAGGTGCGCCTGCGTGGAACCTGGGGACGCTGATTCCTGCATCTTGCAGAACTATCCCCTCTGGATTTAATCGTATCACAATGCCCACTAGCGGATTTAGGGAATTGTTTGCTTGGGCATGAAGGGAGCGCCGTTGGGTCCACCGGAGCATGTCCAAGTCCGCGGGTGGCGTCTGTATTAGTAACAGGCCGATTTTAGGGAACCTATATATGACGATAACCCTACACAGACACAGGAAAGAGGTAAAAAAAAAACCTTTTGGCAGTATCAGAGCCAGCATTGTCAAGCATCTTCCATCTACTTCCGTCAAAAAATCTTACCTTCGTCGGTCCTCTTCCGGTGTGACTGTTCCGGCGGACTGACGATGACAACAGCCTTTCAAATGCTTCTGAGGGTATGTATACTCTGTTCCTGATCACATATGTTTCGATCCAGCATGGACACATATTTGAGGTAAAATCTAGAAGCAATTCATGTTAGACCTTTTTTTTTTTTTTAAAAAAAAAAAAAACCATGCGGTGTATAATGTGTAGCGTCATCAATCTGCCATTGACGTGGAAATTCATAGCGGAGTGAAGCATATCTTCTACGGCTATCTAGTTTATGGTGGCAAGTCAGAGAACAGAAAAATCCGTAGCTCATGTTATGCAAGCTCATCTGGATACGGAGAAGTATGTAAAGCAGTTATCTCAGAATAATCAGTAGTTCGCTAGGTTGATTGCTGATAATCACAAAGATACACTACTATCGCTATTGATTCCACTCTTGATAGAATAATCAGGCAAGAAGGCACGCGTGGGAAAGATCCAAAAATTTTCGGTGACATTGTGGCTAGATATATGCTCGTCTTTATGGAACATAGAATACAGTCGCGACCGTTATTGCCTTCCATGTCGGGGAACATTGTGAGGTTCTTTCAAACCCGAATCATATTCTACGCTAAACCCAATATAGTTAATATCGTATTTGAAAATCTGTTTCGACGTTGAATGGTATAATACTAAACCCGTAAAAAGCTGTTGCAGCTGTATGTTCGCGTATTGTTACAGCTCCAAATAAAACACGCTCGCCATGGAGTCACGTATCCCAACTCAGTGCCCTGACTCGAGTACCAACATCTCAACTTTTTATTAGGGTTAGTCTTACTTAAGCAACGTACTAGAGAACAAAATGGTGACCTGAGAGATTATTATCTGCATAATATGTCATACTTCATGTCGTACCTCGTATATGTTGAGGAATCTGGATGTGACAAACGCGTTGGGTTCAGATGGATCGAGGTATCTTTTATATGTTCAGGTTCTTTTCTATTACTCACTCTTCATAAGACACCCCATCAGGCCCTTCGTCGGAGCATTCATCAGACCATTCATCGGACCCTTCATCAGACCCTTCATCAGACCTTTCGGCCGTACTGCTAACTGGTAGACCAATATATTTCCTACACTCATCGCGTCTCCCGCCCGGAATATTCCACTCTTCAAGAATATTCCCCAAAATCGCGCCCCGCCAGTACTTCATTTCTAGCCCTGCTAAAGTGGTGATCGTTTTCCGCTGAATCTCATTCAGAGACTCAACTGGCCGTCCATCCTCATCCTCAGGCCTGGGACCGAAGGTCAGCTCCAACACAACTTCCGCAAGTTCGAAAGCTTCCACCCTTCGCGAACGCGGGAATGCGTCCAACAAAGTGGACATGACTCTGGGATATTCCTCCAGGTTCAACGTCTTCAACACATTGCCGCTGTACTGGAATAGGTCTCCCTCATGGAAGGGAAACGTAAGATCATCGGACTTCTGAGTATCACTTTTAGGGATAGACGAGCGATCGGCTAAAACGTAGGCTAGGACGGAGACATCCTCTGGCCTATAATTCAGTAGTCGAACGGAAGATACCGCAGCAGCGAACCGAACCAGTGAAGGACGCGTTCTACCTCCATACTCATGAAGTCGGCAGATGAGATCGTCTATCCCCTCAGAGACAGCACCACTATCTTTCCAACATCCATTCAGTAGGCCTAACGCAATAATGGCACTGGCAAGAACCATAATATCTTCGCCTTCCCGGTCGAGCACCCGCTGCAAAGCAACAGCGCTACTCCTATTTCTTCCACCTGCTCCCTCCCCAGGAAACCAAGCCAATGCATAAGCTGCAAAAGCCCTAACCTCCGCGTCCTCCTCCTCCAAAAGCTTCTGAAAAAGTGGTACACCCACACAAACAGCATCATACGTCGCCAACTCATATTTGGCGTTTCTGCGCTGTCGCTCCAGCCCAACACGACGGACATACTCACACATTTTCTGCTGGTTTTCGTCCCTCGCCTGGCTCAGCAACTCATCCTGTTCGGCGTAAAACTCTGTTTCATACCCGGGAGTGCATATCTTCCCTGCCCGCTGACGCCATGCGGCAATGTCCACACCCTGAGGTAGGAACATTGACGGAATACCGAGAGCTAGATCAACCAGGTAGTTAATCACGGAGGCCCGGGCCGGTGTCGCCGGGCTCTCTAGAATTTTGAGTAAGTATGGAACAGCATATGCGGTTGCTTCGTAGCGGGTTGCTTGATGGAAAATGTTTGAGTAGAGGTCCTCGTATGCATCTGAGCGGTCTGATTCGTTTGGCGATAGCAAGGCGCGTAGGTTGTTGGGCACGTCGGTTGCTTCGCCATATGCGTGGTGGAGGGAGGTCCAGTTGACGGAGTCGAGGAGGCGTTGGGCTGCTGGGTCCATCTTGTTTTATTTTATAGGGAAGAAGTATTGAGCGGTGAGATGTCTGCGGCGGGGTTCAAGTTGGTTACAATTCTTGGCTTATCATGAGTAAGATCCAAAACTGCGGCTTGATGATCAGCATGGCAGAGATTACGAAAAGATACCTTAGCTGTCGAGCCTTGCCTATCAACCTCAACCCGGATGGACTCCCAGCGGAAGGACGACGCGCTATGTAGTGAAGCAACTGCAAGATGGAGAATTGTTGACACATTGCTAGTTCAAGCGCTGCCTTGGCTGGATTTGCATAGTGTCTCCTTGAAGCTCCAGTCTTCTATTCTAGGCCCTTGATACTGGTATCATACACGGTCTCGTATTATTACGTGGTATGTACAGAACCTGTTATTTACCCGATCACCGCATCTGGATTAGCGCATAATGTGATTAGGGTGTGGAGTGTCTATGTGTATTTTATATGGAAGGCGAGAACGGGCGCCACTGTAATCAATAAAATATACTCATGAGTTTTATTGATCATAGTGGGCGCCTACCCTCCATTGCTAAGCTTCCTCATTCCGGTCCGGTCCCAGTTTGTGTATCGGACTTGAGTCCGGAGGACGAACCGAGTCAACCCAGAGTGGTGGCGAATTTGGTGACTTAGTTTCGAATTCTTCACGTCAATCCCGGGAATCCCTCAATATCGTCATCCATACCATACTTTGTCCGTATCCGTACCATATATTTCTGTCACCTTCCATCATTCGACGACTTTGAACCCTCGTGGATCCACTCTTTGACAGATTTCAAGTCCGATTCCACCGGAGTTGGATCTCACACATCACCCACCTCTGGAGGAGTCCTGAATGATTATTAATGTAGAAGCTTAAGATGTGAATGCCATTCAAGTAACTCACCGAGAAGTCAACTTCTAATTCAGCCGAGCCGGAGACTTTTAAAGCCTTACTATAAATCCGCTGGCTATAAGAACGGTACAATAAGCTCTATTCGGCTTCTTATTCACCAACAGTTGTTCAACTATGGCAAACAAGCTCGGAATATTCCCAGCCTCTGGAGGCCTTGGAGGCAGTACTCTTAGACACCTTCTTGAGCAAGTCCCATCCAATGAAGTGGTCCTCATCGCTCGCAGCCCAGAGAAACTCAGCAAAGAGAAAGCCGCTGGAGCTACTATCCGCAAGGCCGATTACGACAATACCCAGACACTAGACCAAGCGTTTGATGGAATTTCGTCCTTGAACTTGATTTCCTATGCTAGTATTCAAAATGAGTATCGATTCAAGGTTGGTTCTATCCACCCCTGATACTACCTTGTACCGCCTCGGAGCTAACCTGGTTCTATAGGTACACAAAGCCGCGATTGATGCGGCTCGAAAGAGTGGCGTGAAGCATATATTTTACTCGTCTCTTGCGTTTGCTGGTGATGGAAATCTTGATACCAAGGCCCAGGTTATGCTTGGCCACCTTGCGACGGAGAAGTATCTGGCCCAGCTACACGACAAGGACCCACAGTTCACGTACACTGTCGTTCGCCAAGGGTTGTATTCTGAGTCCTTCCCACTCTACACCGCCTTCTTTGATCTCAAAGATCCTTCCAATGAAATATGCATCCCTCACGATGGCTCGGGCCCTGGCCTTGCTTGGGCTAAGCAAGACGAGTTGGGTGAAGCAACCGCAAAACTTATTGCGCAACACGCCAAAGACCCCGCTGCTTTTCCCTACTTAAACAAAACCGTCCTTCTCTCGGGCCCTCGTGCTTTGTCCCTCAATGAAACAGCGGATGTACTCAGCCGCGTGCTCAGCAAGCCAATCAAGGTCCGCCAGGTACATGTGGACGAGTATGTCAAACAGCCACAGGTCCAAACTGGTCTCACATATGGTGGTGGCAACTGGGCACCTCTCTGGGCGACTGCTTTTGATGGGATCCGCGATGGTGAATGTGCAGCAGTCACCCCTCTTCTGGCTCAGATACTTGGCCGCGAACCTGAGCAGTTTGAAACAACTATCAGGAACATGCTTTCGACTTGAGCGCGAGTAAGGGGTACCTAAAAGTGAAACCTATGTATCTTAGACTGGAGAGAACTTTGTTGGAATTGATATTTGTTGGAGAGGAGACCAGGGAGTACAATGTATATTTCATTTTAAGTCTAATAAGATGAGCATAAATACACGCGTGGACCGGATCTGCCGCGTTCATGCCTAATAGGAATCATTTATTTGGAATGTTTCTGTTCGCGAGTTCCGGTCACCAGTGGGTTTGTGCTGTGTACCAGGAGATCAGCATATTAGGGTATTTTAGATGATTTAGATGTTCTGGCTGAGTATACGCGGTCTATGGTTTTGGGAGAGGGCAGGTTGGAGTGGTTTGGGGCGGCAACAAGGAGTAAACTATGGGAAGCGCTCAGCGAGCCTGGTCAAACAGCAAGCGGTAAATAGACGAGAGGACGGATATTTAATCGAGCTATACGTGATGAGTGTGGTATGTATGAGGTTTTCTTTTGACCTCAGTCGGCCTGACCGTATGTGCCCATGACCTAAGGGCCAGAATAATAGAGAGAAAGATAGGTTAGAAGCTATAAATAAGGATTGAAATTGATTTTTATAAAGCTTTATTTTTTTATATCAGGTACTTATTTTTACTATGGGTTTATATAGTAAGAAGAGTTACTATAGGTATTAATAAAATTCAATTTACAGTCAAATTGGATCTTTTTGAGGTGATTTGATTATCTACTTGTGGTCCCGAGCAGAGTCTAGGGTCTAGTATATATACCGCTGCAGTTACAATCAGAGGTTCTGATTGTTGCTATGATCATTTAGCCAGGTGCAGTGGCCTGAGTTCCCGTCTGGATTACACTCGAAGTGTAACACTCCTAGTATATTTAGTCTCAGTACTATAGATAGTTTCGTCCTCTCCTCAGCGCAATACAGAGGGTTTTTAGCGTAGGACTATAGAGGAGTCTTATAACTCCTATGGAAC